GGGCCGTTACCCGCCGTGACCGCGGCGCCCTGCCCGCGCCCGTGCCCCGCGGAGCCGCCTGCCTTCGGGCGAGACGGAGCTGGAGCCGGGAGAGCACCTGGACCTCGGCTTAACGTGGGCCCTTCCTGCGGAGCGCCTCCGAGTCCTGCGATCTCCCGTAGACGGAAGGGGGCCGGCACATCCCCTAACAGCGGAGCGCTGGCGGCCCGGGCACATCTCGACCCGGAGGGGGCATGCCCCGGGACCCTGGGGGAGGAAGACGGAATGCAAAAGGGACCGAGCTCCCTCCCCGCCCCCGTCCCCTCCTTCTTTTGCTTGAATTTGGGGGGGGTGGGGGTGGGGTTATTAGTTCTTGGGGCAGGGGGTTATTAATCCCCGCTTGGCAGAGTAGGAAACCCGCCATGAAGGTGGCGTGTATCTACTCAAGGGCTGGATGGTGGTGCAGAAATGGACTGATTTTCTCCCCAGATTACAACTCAGCCCCAAATTCCAGGAAGAGGATGTCAGGCTTGGGCCACAAGGCTAGTTAGGAAGCAGGACCCAAACTAGACGCTCTAACTTAGAATCCAGAGAGCCCTTCCATGGAGCCTGAGAGGGAGGCCCAGAAGTCGCCCTTTGGCCTCCTGTCTTGTTCCAGACTCTCAGGAAAGCTTTCATCCACTGATGTCCACCAAACCCCCTCAGCCCTTGAAATAAGCCACACTTGGAGACCCCTGCCAGCCTTCCTCTCCCAGGCCTGGATTCTCCCCTTCCTTCCTATTTAGGGTGGTGGATTGTTTGGGGAAGTACATCCGCAGAGCTGGATGGCGTAGAACTTCTTCCTTGCAGCGCTGAGTAGGGGAGCTAGATCTGAGATGGGGGAGCAGGTGAAGGTAGCCAGCCTGAGGGTTGGGGTGAAGTTGTCATGTGGCCCAGGACAGAGCCTGACACAGCAAGTCACTTGAAGCCCCCTCAACACCCCCCGTGTCTACTGCAATGGGATTCAGGACCTAGCATATGATATTCAGAGTGGAATCTGTTTATGAGTAACAATCTGCCCTTCCATCCTCTCCCCTGCCTCGAAGTATTCTCTGCACAGTAGCCTGAAGAGAAACCAGGCCAGGTAGAAAGAGAAGCTGTGGTGTTCCCAAGGCCTTGGCACTAGCTGAGAAGGCCCAAACCTGGCATCCTCTTCCTGGAATTTGGGGCTGAGTTGTAATCTGGGGAGAAAATCAGTCCACTTCTGCACCACCATCCAGCCCTTCTCTTTGGGGCATAAAGCCTGTTTCCTGATTCCAAAGCTCAGCCTGCAGGGAGGCTCTGTCCCCTCCAGGCTGACCTCAGCCCTGGACCTGACCTAGAGTAGAAGCTCCTTTGTTGGGAGAGTTGAGGCCACAGGCACAGAAGCCCCTGTGGAGCACCTGGGCAGTGGATCTTGGGGAGTGTGGCTGACAGGCATTCCCTGCTGCCCCTAGAAAGCCCTGTTTGTGCAGTTCGCTGAGGTGTTCCCGTTGAAGGTGTTCGGCTACCAGCCAGATCCCGTGAGCTACCAAGCGGCTGTGGGCTGGCTGGAACTGCTGGCTGGGTTGCTGCTGGTCCTGGGCCCACCGATGCTGCAAGAGATCAGTAACTTGCTTTTGACCCTGCTCATGATGGGTAAGGGAGGTGCAACGGGGCTGGGGAAGTGGGGACTTCGGTGGGGTGTGTGTGTGTGTGTGTGTGATAGAAACATCTGGCTGTTTCCTTTTCTGTTTCTCTGGAACCAGGAGCACTCCCTGCTGTACTGCAGTTTCCATGGTCTTCAGACTAGGACATGTTCTTTTTAAACTTAGTATGCCATAACATGCTTCTATGTCAAGTATACATTCTACTTCATCAATTCAATTGACTGCATGGTATTCCATTATAAGAATGTATTGTAACCTAAAAGACCCTAACCCTCTCTCCCCACCCCTACCCCTGAGATGAGAGGATAGAGTAGCAGCTGCCACTGGACTTATGTGTCTGGCAGGTGGGGACAGAGAGCAGGGAAGCTGGGCCCCCTGAACGGAAAGGCAGAGAGTTTCCTGTGGCAGGCAGTCCTAGAAGGCCCCCTCATAGCAGCTCTGCCCACAGGAACTGCTGATGTACAAAGACAGCTGCTGCTTCCAAGGCCAGCCGTCTTCAGGCTCTTCTGTATCCCCTGGCCTTGTCTCACCACTGCTGCCACCACTACCACCCCTCCCCCAGGCGTTCTTTCCGTGTCTGGAGCTTCCCTCATTTTCACATCTTTCCCACACCTCCACCACCAACCCGTGGGCCTCCTTCCCTCCAGTAGGATTAAGAAAGGAGAAGCATCAGTGAGAATTTGTTCCAAAATGCCCATCTACCCACCTGCCTGCCCTGTTTGGCTTGATGATTCCTGTTTCTTTCTTGCCCTCTGAGAAGGGGCTACATCAGTTCAAGAAGCTTCTGATTCCCAGTTCTGTTCTCTCTGGGACGCCAGAGAGATGAGCGCAGCTAGTTTAGGGTGTGTGTGTTGGGGGGTGTTATGGGAGGGCTTGCGCTGGAGGGGGTCAGCCTAGCCTGGAGAGCCCTGAGTTACTGGATCTCCTGGGTGCCCCCAGGGAGCCTGAGGACCTCACTTTCCATTCCAGGGGCTCTCTTCACTTTGGCGTCTCTGAAAGAGTCACTGAACACTTGCATTCCAGCCATCGTGTGCCTGGGACTCCTGCTGCTGCTGGATATCTGCCAGGTCTTGGTCCAAACTAAGCAGCTGGTCAGACCCACTAGGAAGAAGACTCCAGGTGCATTCAAGGAATCCTGGGAGTAGAGTGTCTCTCGCCTCTTCATGCCATGTCACGGTCACAGCAGGAACATGGTGGAACACACACAGTCTACCACCTTATTACCAATATGTCCAGGGTCGGCCAGTGTTGAAATAGACGTCTTGTCTGCCTGGCCCTGCTTTCTGTCTCGGACATTTACTGCTCTTTTTTGAGGGTACGTGTTACACATACTAGCATTCCTCGTGTCATGTGAAAACAGAAAATCAGCAGAAAAATTTAAATCACCCAAAATTTTAATGCCCTCAAGTAACTGCTTTCAGTTCCTTTATATAACTGTACCTCTCAAGTTTTTTCTATGCCTTTATACAGATATTTTTTTTAATGAAAATGAGACCATATATACTACTTTATTACCTGCTTTTTAAACCTAATATACAGTAACACCATTCCATGTCTATTTTACCTCATTGATGTTAATGGCTGTGTAGTATTCCATTGTAAGGATGTACTGTAATGTATTTATTCAGGCCCCCACTGAGGAACATTTGGATTATTCTCAATTTTTGGCTATTGTAAACCTCACAGCAAATCACCTTCGCATACTTATTTTCTTTCCCCAGAAGTGAGGGTGCTGGTTCAAAAGGCATGCACGTTTTTAAGGTTTTTATTACATACTTAAAATTTACACATTGAATATGGCAGAGTATAAGTACCTGCCTCTGCCTCTGCCCTTCTGAGCCACACAAGGCATTCTCGCCCATTCTTTTTTATCTCATTGTGCACTTTAGATTGGCAGAGCTAACAAAGATGGGCAGTGAATATCATTTTCAGGACTGGAAACTGCCAGCCTCTGGTGGTGAGGTGGGGCACTCAGTGCATTGCTTCCTGGACACTTACACGGAGGCAGGGACAGCCATCTCCAAGGGATGCTGCATGTTAAAGCAGTGCCAGAAGCCTGGGATGAATCCCAGAGGTCCAAGGGAGTCAGAAGGGTGTCTGTGTGACAGTTCTCCAGGGAAAGTGACCATGTTAGGACCACCAACCATCTTCATCTCAGTGGGGGCCTTTTGGGAAGTGGTGTCCCTCCCATAAGGGAAAATAGGAAAAAGAGTTCATTTATTTGTGCACATACTCTAGCCACTAGCCTACAAGTTGCTTTGGGGGCAGGGACAATGGCTTTTGAGAGCCTACAGGGGTAAAAGAGTTCTCTGTATATTACTCCATTTCATCTTCACTATGAATGGTACTTTCTGCTCTGACTGGCTAGCTGGGAACCTCAGGCAAGTTGGCACTCTTAGGTAGGTCTTTTCTTCTTGTGTCCGAAAGCGCAGTGATGCAATCCATCTATAGATCTATCACATATATTAGTACCTGTATATTAGTACATATGTATGTAGTGGTATACATATACTATGTATACAGAGTGTCAAAGCAATAAGGAAACTTCTTTTCTCACATAAGAGGTCCAGAGATAACATAGCTTCGGTTTCAATGTTGGGTAATTTGGCTGCTTTATGATGATACCAACGACTAATGTTCTTTCACCTTTCTGCTCTGCTGCTTTCAATTGATTGGCCCTCAGCGTTGCAAAATAGTTGGAGCAGCTCTAGATAACATCCCAAGGTGAAAAGAGAGAGGAAAGCTCTCCTAGAAGACCCCTAGATTTCTGCTCACATCCCGCTGGCCAGAATTATGTCACATTTCCATTCCTAGACCAATCACTGGCAAGGAGAATGGAATTCCCATGATGGACTTAGACTAGTTAAGATTTACCCACACTGGTCAGCAAAGACGAAGGGAGGGGGTACATGATGGTTTCTGCCACTTACTAGCTTATTTGCAAAATATGGATAATAATGGTAAATACTTCATAGAGTTGCTGTGAGGATTTAGGGAGTTGGTGTTTCCAGTAGTGCCTGGCACATAATATGTGCTCAGTAAATGCTGTTATTAAAGAGCATTTGTTATTAAATAGCGGTGTGTTCTACAGATGAGAAAAAGGATTCAGAAAGCTTAAGTGCCTAGGTGTCAGACCTGAGACTAGAATTAAGGCCTGATTGACTCCAGAACCCACGCTTTCCACTGTACCAGCTGCCAAAGTCGGAAGTGGGCAGGCATGGCACCCCTGCTCTCTTCAACTTGAGGGTAGATGGGATGATCTGTCTGATGTGATTAAATCTGCGCTGCTTTCCACAATTGCCCCTCTCCATGAAAAATTTGAAGCCCAGGGAAGTAGAGCCTGGAGGCCCTAGGATCCTGGCCTCTTAGCATGTCTACCCCCTGCCATAGCCAGCCTGGACTTTGAGTAAAACCTCTCACAGCTGGCATTAGCTCGAGGGCTCCTGTTTACCAAGGCTTGGCCTGTAAGCTGATTAGCAGCTATGGGGCCCCTGTGTTTGGCTGTAGGGCCCACCCAGCAGCTGCAGGAAAGGCAGGGTGCTGGAGGAATGGGCTGGCCAGCTGGTGTGGAGGAGCACTTGGGATTGACAGCAGCAGGAGCTCCAGCAATGCCTCCTCAGCCCAGGGGGAAGCCAGGCCTCCAGAAATGCACCCTCCAAACCATAGCCTGAACCTTGGTCAGGGCAGCACAGTGACAGTCAGCTGCGAGGCCTTCCTTACACCTTTCTATCGCCCTCCCTGTGCCCCCTTGCCCTGCAATGACACTCCCTTCCCTTGGGGCCCTGGCCGCATCCCACAAACTCAGCTCACAGCTGTCACAGGTGGGCCCTAGCTCCAGCTGTTGGGCCCATTCTTCATGTGGTGTCCCTGGGATTAGTTGGTTGATGGGAGGGTCTGGGATGTGTGGGTGGGAGTGGATTCTGCTCTGTCTCAGCTCCTTAAAGCCAGGCCCCCAGGCCCCAGAGAGAGCTGCAGCAGCCAGAACCGTGAGAGGTAAGAGAGGAATGATCTGGTGGGATGGCTGGGAGATGTTCAGGGTGTGGCAGCTGGCGGGTAGAGCCATGCTGGACAGAGCTGAGAGGGAGGAGGAAAAGGGAATACACTCACTCAGGGTCCCAGAAAGGACTGGAGCCTGAGAGTCAAAGGCAGAAGTACAAATTATGGTATCGGAGGACCGAGTTTTGGGACACCATGGAGTGTGACTGTGTGCCAAAAATAGGACATTGGCTTGTGCACTTAGGCCCCCTGGGCAGAGAAGAGGACTACACCCGGATGTCACTGTGTTGTGTTGTTTGCTTGGGGTGCCTGTGTGGGTGTACACATTTATCTGTGTGCTGCTGGAGGGGAAGGAAGCGAATGGTTATGAAGTATCTCCCCAGGGTCAGCCACAGTGCTCAGAGTTTTACTTATGTTTTCTCATAATCTTCCCAACAACCCTGTGAGGTAGGCATTTTAATCTCCATTTTACAGCACAGAAGACAGGCTCTGTGAAGCTGAGTAATTTGCCCAGTGTCACATGGCAAATAAATGTGTGTATCCAGAATCTGCCTGATTCCTGGGCCTGTGCTCTTTTTGCTTTGCTGTCCAAAGCTTTGAATCAGACCCAGGACTTCTTGGTGGTCCAAAGGCAAGGGGAGAGGAAACAGGTGGAAGGCCTGAGAGTTGTGAAACCTTTTCAGCCCTGCCCAAGGTGCTCCAGGCAAGCCCCAGAAGACCGTCACCAGGCAAGTCCAAGGTCACTATGCATGGGCCTGTCCTCCAGGTCACTGCATCATAAGACTGTTCCTCCATCCATGCCTGGCTCCCTCCCCCACTGGTCTGGATGGCACATGGAGGAGGGAGGATTGGGCTTTTTCTGGGAAGAACTCTATTCCAGCCTGGTTTCTCCAGAACTCCCTGTTGGCTCAGCCTTGCTTGGCCTCCTGCACATGCCCGTCCCCCCACATGGCCGAACCCTACTCCACCTGTGAGGGGCACCTCCACCCTCCCAGTCACCAAGGAGGGAAATTTCCAAGCTAGCTGGCACTCCTGCCCCTTCCTCATTTCCCACAGCTTGTCACCAAGCCCATTCTACTTCAAGTAACGCTCGAGTCCATCCCCTCCTCTCCATCCCCAGCTGGTGCGGGCTGAGCTTGGTCCTCCTCCCCTCTCACATGGACTTCCTTGTTTCTAGTGTCGCCTCAGCAACGACTGAGGAAGAGGGGCCTGGGATTCGGGGAAAGTGGTGTGCGGGGCTTCTTCTGTGGCTAGCCTCCACAGCGACCTCTTCCTCTCCCTAGTCCAAGGTCCGCGATGAACAGCAGTGTTGGGGACCCGGGTGTTGGCGGCTGCAGCCCCTGGGATGACCCTGCTCGCTTCATCGTGGTGCCCACGGCCTATTCCCTGGCGCTGGGCCTGGGGCTGCCCGCCAACGTGGCGGCCCTGGCGGTGTTCGTCCGCAGCGGCAGGCGCCTGGGCCGGGCCCTGCGGCTCTACCTGCTCAACCTGGCCCTGGCCGACGTGCTCTTCACGCTCACGCTGCCGCTGTGGCTCACCTACTACCTGGGCCCGGCCCACTGGCCCTTCCCGGAGGCCGCCTGCCGCGCGGCGGGGGCTGCCTACTACGTGTCCACCTACGCGGCCGTGGCCTTCGCGGCGCTCATCAGCCTGTGCCGCTGCGGCTCGGTGCGCGGGCCCCGGCCC